TGCTTCAATTGTTGAGATATGTGTTGCTGTTTCTATTAAGGGGCCAAATATAACATTTGTTTATTGTACATGGAACAGGAAATGATATTTGATCACCCTGATGGTCAGAACTGAAAATTTCCCTTAATGAGCAGATCTAGTTGCTTATTCCAAATGCTTGCTGGTCGGTAAACCAAACATTAAGGGAGTTATATGCTTCAGTGAGGTCTCAGATTCTTTTTAGCTGACTCAACTTGTGGCTTATTAAGTTGTTCAACATCGTTATTCCATTTAAAGTCTGGTTTGCTGGAGTATCCTGGACTGATCTTTGATGTATGTATCAGTGACTGAAAAATTTGACTGGTTCTTGTCAAAGAATGTGTACAAGCTGCAGGTTAAGGACTGTGATATATTCACAAGCTGTTTGGAAGATTTCGAAAGGGATGCAATGGTTAGCACTCGCCTTTCGGTCTATATAATTGCAGCAAATTCCATTTTATGTACAGATTTTTATTTTGGTCCGTCACCCCTTCTTTTGGTGGTGCTGTTTTGTCTCGTCCTCCATTTATTTTGTACTCCCTCATCCTCCATTTATATTGTCCTCGCTCCCTCATCCTTACCCCGTCTTTAGTAGGTTATGTTTTCCTTACCCATATTAGCTACACATAAAATTAGTGTATGTGCCTCTGTACTTTAGCTTGGTTTCACAATTTTTTCTTTTTTTCAGGAAAACATTTTTTAGTAAAGTCAGTGCTCATTGTCACTGAATTCTGGTCACTATACAAAAATGTCAACAGTGAGTTTGTTCTATCTTCATACTCCTTTCTTGCTGAAGCATTTTTTCAGGATTTCCTTTTCCGTCATTTCTGTTTGCATTTTAGAAAAGCTCTCTTTGCATAAAATAATTATTTTGACTACATGCCCTATGATCTTATGCAATAGTTGATGCATTCATTTCATTATTGGTGATGTACTGATGTGGTCTATATATTCAGTAATCAATAAGCTACGTATTTGATTAGCATGTGATACAGTTGCATCACTTGCATGCTATGAGGTGTAGCACTTTGGTGCTATCCTCATCTCTCGTGGCATAGACCCGGGTTTTTTAATGCACACACCCCTCCCCTTCCTCCTCCCCCTCCCCAGGATATGGAATTACGGCCAGCTCACCCAATATATAAATATGTGACGACCACATTATTCTGAAACCTCTCTATGATATTCGTTCTACGGTTCTACCTATTTTTCTGTGTAAAGTGTAATGACGATTGTTTATTACGTAATGAAGTTGTTTATGAAGGCCAAGGGGGTGATGAAGAGGGAAAAAAGTGGAAGTACTAACCTCGTAGGGTAATAGAATCTAATAGAATGGAAAATTGGAAAGGAATGAATAAATGAATTTGAATGTTGTTGTAAACATTCTTAAAGAATGATAAATAAATATTTTTGACTAATAAAGAGTAGGTTGCTATATTTCCAACAATATTGGGCCCATTTGACATTGCTATCAAAGAATCCTATTTTTACCTTTTAATATTCACTTAAAATTCATGTGATGTCGGTGATATAATACAAAGTTTCTTAAGTAATTTTTCATATAGAGTACTTTATACAATACTTGTATAATATATAGTCACAAATATTAAGTGGATAATCTTTTGCGAATGAGAAAGTATGGATTTAAAAGTTAGAATCTAATCTTAGTTAGAAACATAAAAGGTGGGTTGGTGATACATGGTTTTCAAGTGCCTTGTTTTGCTTCATAATTTTATTTGGCTATTATTGGAAAATTACAAAATTCTGTTCATGGTGGGGGCTTTTGATGTCTTTTCCTCATAGTTGGTTGCGTTGCCTCTTTCTTAAGTTTAAGAGTTAGAAGAGGAAAATAGCATGCAAGAAAATACAAGTATATAAGAATGTAACCCAATCCAAACCCCATTTGTGTGGATGTCACAATCTATGCCAAACTATATATGGACTACATTCATTTTCATGTTACTAGTCTTTGTATTTTGATGACTAAAGTTTCCCAGTAAGGAATAGAATAGTTAGCGTCTTACGAGTAGTTTTTAGACAAGAACGAGTTGTTTTAGCTTTTAAGGTTCATATATGTTAGGATAATTTGCCAATTACTACCACAAGTTAATACCACTTTGTAAATTACTACCCATGTTGTGAATTACTATCGCAAATTAAAAAAGTTGTGAACTACTACTGCAAAAAATTTTAAGATGTTGCGATTACTACCAAATCCCTATTAAACCCAACTATGACGTCATTATATCCCTTTAACCCATGTTTGACCATGGTTTAGGGCTTTAACAAGCCCCTCCCCCCCCCCCAAAAAAAAAAAAAATGGGTTAGGGATATAATGACGTCATGGTTAAGGGCTTTAACCCATGTTTGACCATGGTTAAGATCTTTAACCATAGGTTAAAATGATATAATGATGTCATAGTTGGATTTAGTAGCGGTTTGGTAGTAATCGCAACATCTTAAAATTTTTTGCGGTAGTAATTCACAATTGTTTTAATTTGCGGTAATAATTTACAAAGTGGTATTAACTTGCGGTAGTAATTGACAAATTATACTATATGCTATCTCTTTATTATGAACACAGCCTAAATGAAAGATTTGGAGGTACATTATAATTTTACTTGGTCAAATCAATTTAAGGTATGGTGACAATATCTTATTACTAGCGCTTTGTCCAAATTTTGATTTTATTGATTGGATATACAAATGCTACATTTCTTGAGTTCTTCGCCTTTGTAGTCCTACAATGTGGAAGAACATAGGAGAAACTTTTGTTACACACTTCACCATACTGATTATAAATTTAATACGGAGTAATGCATTGCATATGCGGTATGCCTGTTAAAGCAAAAATAAAATACTATTATTCCTCAAATACAAGTGAAAATTAAGTAGATACATTTGTGTCATTGATATATCAACACATTATTATTAGTTACTTCGTACTTTGATAGTAACAATTAATTTCTCGAATGTATGTTTGCTTAGCCTTTAGGTTGCATATATCAAAACCGTAACAAGCAGAGGGGGACCTTCCACCGGGATCAGGCCCTCCGTGAATTATTATAATTAATTAGTTAATGAACTTAAATAACCTATACTTCGTATTTACTTATAAAATATTGGAGTATAGTGATCAGTTTTGAACAAGAAGTAAAATATTTAAATCCTAGCCCCTATAATATTTTCGGTCAAGATTCGTCACCGGTAATAAGCCAATGTTATTGCATAACTCGTAAAATACAGTAAATGAAAGATTATGATGTTTTAACACTAATCCTGAAAAATTGATTCCAATGGAGTGTGAACTAAAGATGAAGGGAATGACTTTTATGAGTCTGGAATTCTGGATTACATTTTGTTCAAAAGTAGTGCGAGTATCTTTCAGGAAATCAGATGAATATTATATTGCCCCTTTTCTCGTTTCCCTTCACGCGTGTGTCTGCTAGTATCCAACTTCCAAACCATGTGATTATGAATTCATGGCATAAAAATTACAATTTCGATGTTTTTAATAAATTACTATATTTACCTTTTATCATTACCTACTTTTTTTTAGACTATTTATATGTGATTAATAAATATGAACAATTATATTTGGTTGATAAGTTATTTCCTTTTAAGCCTTTCAAGTTTCAATCTAGTAATCGGAGAGAATCCTCGTGTACATAGCGTAAAGAAAAATCAACCCTAGTGTTCGTAATGAGGTTTGATACCACAAACTCAAAGACCTAGAGGCTAGAGTTGGACAAAGGGCAGACCGGGCAGATTGCTACAATGTTGCTTAGCAGGCCAATGTAATGGACAGGGTTGATACACTTTATTGGGCTATGTCATTATATAGTGGGCCTAAAACGGCCCAATATAGACTTTGCTTTGGCATGTTGTGAATGAAATGAGTTAGTGGTGGGGGACATTAGTAGTGGGGAGGCAACCTATGAGTGTCGAGTAAAGGTAACCAAAAAGTTTAACTAACTGTTAGTGGAATAAAGATGAAAACTGATAAAGATTTATTCAAAAGTTGTAGTCTTATTTTATGTAGTGGGAGTAGATAACTTAGCATAGAGGGATAGAGGGCTAGAGGAGTGTATAATGACAACAAGAAATTACTATTTCTAGTAATGAATAGCTAGTGAATAGATTCATACATCACAATAGGTTAAATTGGCCACACATCATCAATCTACTTATATTTCTCTTTTGAACTAAGCACCTTAATCAACAAGGTTTTAAAATGATATATTCCCACCGTCTTCTTTTATTCGTCACTTTTACAATACCTTATCTCATCGACTGGTGTCTATCTAATCATTTGGAGCACAATTTCATCTTAACTTCACATAGTCTAAAATGGATCAGAATTTTCCAGTTTTGATTTGTCTAAATTCAAAGTATAAAAATAAATTGAGTAGATAATATTCCATTCTTATCAAATTAATGTAATGTATATGACTTTTGGTTTTGAAATTAATTATTGATAATTATGAGGCTTTGAAATTTGATTTTTCAAATAAGCATATAATGGTGCATTATTTGACCTTCCAAACTCCCTAAATAGATTCATTGTCGTGAAAAAAAAAAAATTGCAGTACATGAAATCAAACATTTGTTACATCAAGTGATTGTTTATTTGTAATCATTAGGGTAATCAAGAAATTAGTGAAGAAAGAAAATTAATGGTTATAAGTCAAGTGGAGTTATAAAACGATGGGAGTAAATAAAATTTGTAATCGTATCCAAAGCCATTGGCCTTTAATGGAATATGATCCATTGAATCATCCCTATTCACAAGCTCTTGTTCCTTTTGCACCAAACAAACCCAACAATCTCTTTGTTTCCTTCCTTCCCATTTTAATTTTACAAATCATCTCTATTATTACTCTTTTTAAATTTTCTAAAAATAAATCTCACCATCAATTATTATTTATTTGTTTTTTATTTTTTACTCGTATTTTTTTTTTTTTTTTTTTTGGCGTGGAAAATTTTGGACCCCGACTAGACCCTTCATTACTCTGTCACACTCCACTAATTACACTTCACTCCACTCCACTCCACTAGTCCACTTAAATATTTGACTTGACTTCTTCCCCAAAACGCCGTCGTTTCACCCATCTTCTCCACCACCTTCAAAAAATCAAAACCCCCCAAATATTTCCATTCTTTAAAAAATTTCACAATTTTTTCCAAAAAAAAAATGACAATAATTTTGTTCCTCTTAACTCTCTATTCTCTGAGTTTTCTCCCTCAACTTAACTCGTCACCTGACTCAGTCACCATTCTCCGACCAAACTCAACCATTTTCAGCCCAAATCGAACTTTCGAACTCGGATTCTTCACCCCTAACCCAGAACTCGGCAACCTCTACCTCGGAATCTGGTACTCTTCTCTTCCTACTCGAACCTACGTTTGGGTCGCTAATCGTCATACCCCTTTGAAAGACAATACCTCTGCTTCACTTTCTCTCTCCTTTGACCAACTCACTCTCTTTGACTCAGTCAACTTCGTCGTTTGGCGCTCGGATAATCCCCTCCCTGGCTCCCACCTTCGTCTCCTTGATTCCGGTAACCTTGTTCTTCTTTCTAATTCGAACGACGTCGTTTGGCAGAGCTTCGACCACCCTTCTGACACGTGGCTACCTGGGATGAACCTTACTGTTACTGGGTCCATTGTTGCGTGGAAGTCGGAGTGGGACCCTTCTCCGGGGAGGTATTCTCTGCGGTTCAGACCACCGCTTTACGGTGAGATCGAGTTGGTGTATAATGATACGGTGTCGTATTGGAGTACTGGGAGATGGACTGGGAGTTCCTTCGCGAATGTTCCCGAGATGACGGTGACGTACATTTACAGGTTTTACTTCAAGAATGAGTTTACTAAAACGGCGTCGTTTGGGTTCTCGGAGGTTCCGGCCGGGTCGGAGAGTGGGCCCCCTCCGTTGACGAGGTTCCAGGTCAGCCACACCGGGGATCTCCAGCAGTACACGTGGTCACCACAGACGGAGTATTGGAACTCGTTTTGGGCCCGGCCCGAATCCAGGTGTCGGGTTTGTGGGCTTTGTGGGCCCAATGGGGTTTGTTATGGGGAGAATTTGAGGACATGTGAGTGCCCGAATGGGTTCGGGCCAAAAGACGGGCTTGGATGGGCCCGGGAGGATTACTCGGGTGGGTGTGTGAGGTTGGATGGTGGAGGTGAGGTTGGGGTTTGTGGGATGGATGATGGGTTTGTGGAGATGGGTAGTATGAGTTTTGACGAGGCGAAAACGGTGTCGTTTCGAGGTGTGGAGAGTAAGGGGGAGTGTGAGAAGAGTTGTTTAGGTAATTGTTCCTGTATTGGGATTAATTACAATGTGAAAATTAAGTTGTGCAAGAATTTGTTTGGTGTTCTTGTTAATTTGAGAAATTGGACTGCTGATAGTACAATGGGTGGTGATGATGATGTGTTGTATCTTAGAGTGGGAAAAAATGGGTTGAAAAACAAGGGTTTGAGTCATAGAATGATTATTTTGATTAGTGTAATTTCTGGGTTAGTTGCAATTTCAGTGATTATGTGTTTGGTTTTGTGGGTTATTAGAAGGGAAGTTAGGAGGAGAAGGAATGAGGAGGAAGAGGCAGCTTTAGCTGCTACCCATTTGAGGGTTTTTTCATATAAGGAGCTCCACGGGGCGACTCGTGGGTTCTCGGAGAAGCTTGGGCATGGCGGTTTTGGGACCGTGTTTCGTGGTACATTGTCGGATTCATCACATGTGGCGGTTAAATGCCTTGAACGGCCGGGTAGTGGTGGAGAGAAAGAGTTTCGAGCTGAGGTTTGTACAATTGGGAATGTCCAGCATGTGAATTTGGTTAGATTAAGGGGGTTTTGTTCTGAGAATTCTCATAGGTTGTTAGTTTATGAATACATGCATAATGGTCCTTTGAGTAGTTATTTGAAGAAAGATGGTCAAAATATGAGTTGGGATGTTAGATTTAGAGTGGCAATTGGAACAGCCAAAGCCTTGGCTTATTTACATGAAGAATGTAGACAATGTATCATTCATTGTGATATTAAACCTGAGAATATCCTTCTTGATTCGGATTACACTGCAAAAGTTTCTGATTTTGGGTTAGCAAAGTTAATAGGCCGCGATTTTAGTAGGGTGTTGGCGACAATGAGGGGAACTTGGGGGTATGTTGCTCCGGAGTGGATATCTGGAGTGGCAATTACTAACAAGGCAGATGTTTATAGCTATGGGATGACAATGTTGGAGCTTATTGGGGGTAGAAGGAATGTGGAAGCACCACCACCGTCACCACCTAATACATATGGGTGTGATGGGAATCAAGGAACCCATGGAAGCGGAGATACAGGTAATGGCGATAAGTGGTTCTTCCCACCATGGGCAGCTCGGAAAATAATCGAGGGGAACATGGAAGAAGTGGTGGATTCAAGGCTTGGTGTGGCATATGATAGATTAGAGGCGGAGAGGCTAGGGATGGTGGCCGTGTGGTGCATACAAGACGAGGAAGGGGCAAGGCCTTCGATGGGATTAGTTGTAAAGATGTTAGAAGGGGTTGTAGAAGTAGGTGTTCCCCCTCCTCCTAAACTTCTTCAAGCCTTAGTAGCTGGGGAGTCGTCGGTTGGGATAACTTCCGGAAATGTAGTTTCAAACACTGGCGGTTTTGGCTCTGACGATAACAATACCAGAGTTTCTGTAGATTCAGTATCACCTCATTCTCCCAGTAGTCCTAGTAATGCTCTTCATTAGCTACAAATGTCAGTGTATGATACTTGTTACAGAATTCTGTTATCTAATGAGTTTACATAAGGCCATCAATTTTGAGTCTTCAAGATTGTGTGTTCCATTGCATTCTATTCTATATTTGCTACACTGTCTCCATCTATATGCCGATATGTGTATGGGTATGCCGGTATGTTTAGATGTATGCAGTTTTATCCCTACCTTAACCGATCCCCCCCCCCTCCCCCTCTCCCCGGTCTTTGTTGTTGCCAGATTGAATCCTTATACCCTGAGACGGGGACTTCGTGTGGCCGTGTGTGAAAGGGGGTTGTTGTGTACCTGGAAAGGAAAAAAGGTATAGTGCATCATTGCAAAAAGAATCAACAAACAGATGGGCAGTTTTAGAAATATTGATTCAGCAAATCCCTTTACACTCTTCTTATCTTTACAGAACCTTAAGCTTTTAGGCATATAATGCACACTGTCTGCATCATTAGTTTCACATTTGATATCAGGAAAACATCATTCTCTTGCTTTCTTTCATCATACTTGCTATAACCTTGTCACTAAAGCCTTGATTTCGTACGTGTTGACCGAAAACATCCTAAATCTTGACTTAAATTTAATAATTGTACTGATGTTAGATCTGGACTTTGGCCTAGATTTGAGCATTGTGTTCTGTTTCTTTAATTAAAAAGGTCTCTACTGTCCTCTAGGCAACGACAATTTCGTGAGTCCAACTTGAAATTTTGATGGTTTCTAATTTCTATACTTTTATCTTTGCAATTGTTTACTTCATCATTGGTACGACATAATTTTACTTATATATGAAATGTCTTATGTGAATGTCTATAATAATGCGTAATAATTTCTGTATTATATTACTCTCTATACTGTATGAAATGTCTAAGGGTCAATTTTGAAAATTCATCGCGCTCATTTTATTTTCCGCAAGAGGAAAAAAGCACATATACATAGAAACAGTTTGTGCACATTTAAAATACAATAAATTCCAAATTCTACACGAAGGTTATGAGCCACAATTCAGAACGGTTTTCATAGATCTCTACTCCGTAGTGTTTATTTATACATACTATAAAGAATGAAATAAGTTTCAGCTAACACCTAAATGTCAGACATTTAAACCCCTAATCAATAAACTGTCTTCCCCTTTCCATTTAGCAAGAAAATAGTTTTCAACGTATGAATATGACAGTACGTTTTTTTTTCTTATTTGGTTTATATTTAATGCAAACCCTTCAAAAAAAAAAAAACTAAGCTGAAATATGGGAAAATGTAAGAAACTAGGGCATTCCTAAGTTTAAGGGATCATTGTTAAATATGCTTCATTTCATCCAACTTACTATTGTTGGAATGCATGTATTAGTTATCTATCAACCATTGCTTTTTTTTTTGTGATAAGAGTAGAACAAGGACAACAACATCATCATCAACAACCGAAAGATCAAGTAAAAAAAATAACAACAAAATTTGCAACTTAATTTTTATTTTTTTTTCTTTTTGGGGAAATTGGTATTCATAACATAACATAAACTTATATTGTTGATTTTCATCTTCTTTTCCGGGATTGATCTTCTTCCAAAATTTGGATAAGTTTTGAGTTTTAAAATATTGTTTCCCCCTTTTAAGGAACAATTCTAAAGTTCTGTTTTGTTTGAGAAAAAACAATAGAAAATTTCAATACAAAGATAGGCAAGATAGCTAAGGAATTAGAACTAGCTGGACAAAATGTTGGGAAGGTGGGCAATGGTAATGCCTCCCCTTCCCCTTCCGAGGACGAGGTGGAAAATTCCGAGAAGATGGATATACCGTTGATTGGTGGAGACCGGTATGACAGCGAGCATGTGGCCGAGCTCCACTCAGCCCCATCTGGGGTGCTAAAGGCGGAGGATGGGGAGGCTATAGGTGATTATTCTCCTATAAAGAGTTTTGCAGATGCTAAGCATGTATGGTGGACAGAATCGTCGAAGTTATGGGGCATTGCAGGTCCTATTGCTTTCAATATCCTTTGCAATTATGGTATTAATTCATTTACCAATATCTTTGTTGGACATATTGGAAATGTGGAGCTCTCAGCTGTGGCCGTTGCTCTTTCTGTTTTTGGAAGTTTTGTCTTCGGTTTCTTGGTGAGCTTTCTTATACTCCCTACTTTTATTCTTTGGTCATGTTCATATTGCATATTTTCCCACCTTTTTGTTTAATGATTTTGCTTCCTTTTTTCATCTTCTAATTGAGGTAGGGTACTTGGGTGTTGAAATGAGAGCTATGATAATAACTATGGGATAGAGACATGAAACTAATCAAATAATCGAAATTATGTGCTCTGGTCCATTTTTCATCCAAAATAAAGTCTATTTTAATTATTGATCCTGTAATAACTAATAAGATGAACATTTTCCATCTCATTTCTTGTTAAGAGTTGAGATGTGGATCTATCTTCACTACAATAGATGTATACATATGTTTTAAAGTTGATCATGAGCCGGCGTGTTACCAACAAAATACCGTGTGTATATGTTTGTTTGTTTGTTTTCTTTCATAATCTTAAAAAAAAAAAAGAATTTAACTAGCAACCAACATTTTGCTCTCTAGTTCCTGTTCATAGCCCAGAAAATATGTTTAAACAATAACTGGATTTTGCTCATTGGGAAAATTATATTCTCTCCATTAAAATTCTGTTTGAAATTGAGATTTTTCTAAACTTTAACAAATTTGTTATTGAATAGTTGAGTATATATATTTCAGAGCTGATATTGGGCCAGATCTGGCCAAAAAAAACTCAGCCCGTTTTAGCAGAGTGCATGGGGCTGAAAAAGTGTACCCATGCTTGATACTTTGATAGTATTGGGCTGGGCCTTTAATTGAATTGGGCCAGAAATACGCTGTTCAAGCCCAGAACCGTGTTCAATCAGCTCTAAAATGGGTTTTCATTCATTTATGAAAGTATCTTTCAAGAACTAAGATGAACATAGTTGTAAAGTTCAGGAACTATTTTTAAAAGGCTCAACTGGGAGTATGAGGAACAATTTTCGATCACGAATTTTGACTGTTTGGCATATTTAATTTCTTATGATGTACTGCAAAGAATGATGATATTTTAGCTTGAGATTAATTGATCTAGTTTATGATGACAACAATCCACAGTTAGGCATGGGAAGTGCTTTAGAGACATTATGTGGGCAAGCATATGGAGCAGGGCAAATACACATGCTTGGAATCTACATGCAAAGATCTTGGCTTATCCTCTTCGGCGCTTGCTTGTTGCTTTTACCACTTTACTTATGTGCTACGCCAATCCTAATGCTCTTGGGTCAAGAACCTGATATAGCGGAGCTTGCAGGGAAGTTTGCCATACAATGTGTCCCACAGATGTTCTCGCTTGCTGTGAATTTTCCGACTCAGAAGTTCTTGCAGGCACAAAGTGATGTCGCAGTCATGGCATATGTTGGTTTTGTGGCCTTGATCGTCCATGTCATGATGCTTTACCTCTTCATCGAGGTGTTTGGGTGGGCTACCATGGGTGCTGCTTTAGCCTATAATATCTCTGGCTGGGGGATTGCGTTGGCTCAAGCGTTTTACATCATAGGTTGGTGCAAGGATGCTTGGACTGGCTTCTCTTGGTTGGCTTTTCACGACCTTTGGCCTTTCGTTAAGCTCTCTGTTGCTTCTGCTGTTATGATTTGCTTGGAGATTTGGTACTTTATGAGCATCATTGTTCTCACTGGCCACCTTGAAGATCCTGTTATTGCAGTTGGTTCCCTTTCTATCTGGTATGCTAGCTTCCTACATTAAAAGGCCCAACATGCTAAATGACTGCTTTCAATCACAATTTTACAAAATCTATCGTGCACTGGGTTTACGGCGTACGCCTGACATATGTACACCCAGATGTACCGTAGAAGTTCTGTTTTTCATGGTACATTCCCTTTGCACATTTATGCAAAAAAGAGTTGATCTTACTCCCATGTTTTCTGATGCAGTATGAATTTAAATGGGTGGGAAGGCATGCTGTTTATAGGAATTAACGCAGCTATAGGGTAATGCCCCGTCTTTACATTGCTGTTACATAAATTCCATTTACTAGTCAACATGAAATTCCACAACCACTAGCATTCTTCTGCCTGTACTAACCTGTGACCAACAATATCTCAGCGTTCGAGTTTCCAACGAACTTGGATCAGGACACCCAAGGGCAGCCAAGTACTCCGTGATTGTCATCGTTGCTCAGTCACTCTGCATAGGCATCCTCCTTATGTGCATGGTCATGCTCACTAGGAATCATTTTGCTGTAATCTTTACAGAAAGTAAAGATATGCAAAATGCTGTTGCTCATTTAGCTTATCTTTTGGGCATTACCATGGTACTTAACAGTGTCCAGCCAGTCATATCAGGTATATTTTGATCAATCTTTAATTTACAATATCGAAATTATTGATCATGGTTTAATGGGGTTAATAACAATTTCATTGATCAGGTGTTGCGGTTGGAGGAGGGTGGCAAGCCTTAGTTGCTTACGTAAACCTGTTTTCGTATTATGTTATTGGACTGCCTTTGGGATTTCTCCTTGGCTATAAGACTCGCTTAGGCGTGGAGGTAATCGTTAGCTACTGTATTTCTCAGTCTAATTGCATTTCTGTTGGACTGTATCATAGAATTTGTTATGATAAATCTTATGTAGCTTATATTAATTTGATTTAGTATAATTAAAGCGATAAAATTGTACCAATTCATTTGTAACAAGGTTTTGTGGCTACAAAATGCAGGGTATTTGGATAGGAATGATAATTGGGACAAGTCTTCAGACATTTATCCTAGTCTACATAGTTTACCAAACGAATTGGAATAAAGAGGTGAGTCACTATCATAAAAAATTAATGCGTCCTAAAACCATATGGCAAATTGTCCGCATGTGGAATTGTGGAGTAACTCCTTAGCCGTCTTTGGCCTTGTTAAATGATCAGTTCTCTATTCTTTTATCAGTGTGAGACACTAGGAGACTCACACTCGCTAACTAACAATATTCATACCCTAGACCTTACCAAAAAAAAAAAAATGATAATTATGGCAAAAATATAGTCCAAATGTTCAATAAAGTATATACTACGTATTAACCTAAGATTAACATACATATTTGAATTTGGAATGCTGAATTATAACAGGTAGAGGAAGCTTCAGAAAGACTGCGAATATGGGGTGGACAAGCTGAAGAATCGCATGATGATGATAAAAAAGTTCTTACTATGGAGATTGTCCCAAATGATTCATTAAAATAGGTTTTTATTTGTTTTACTCTTTAATCTACATAATATCCAAATTAAACAGGTAGATTTTTTATTTTTTTTTAATTACTCCTTGATAATCTTTTGCTAGTTTTGAACCTAGTTAGGGTTAGGAGATTAAATTGATGGTAGGACATAGTATACAGGACTATAGCAAATTATAGTAATAGTTACAGTACTATCCTTCAGAACATTAAAGTTGGAACTGAGATACAAGAATTCGTTTTTTTCTTCCTATATTAAATACAATATGTCAAACTAATTAATATGAAGTTGGTATTACATTTCTTTACTCGATGAGATAAGGTAGACGATGAATCCTTGATTCCCAAATTATCTTGGTTCCCACTTGTAAGTTGTAATAAACACTTTGGTAAATGGTAATGGTGGTGTCGATATAAATGTCGTCTATAGAGAAATTTATTAATCCTAGTATCATACCCATATCATGTGTGTTATTTCATCAATGTTGTACTTACTAGTTAGTATTTCTTTTTAACTTATCAAAGTTGTACTGTTGTAATTCATCATACTATTAATACAACCATATATGCGACCTTTATATTTGGACAAAGACATGGCTAGTATAGGGCAGTGGAGTAATAGACCGCGTAGAGTCGTAGAGTAGATGGAGGGCTCATAAATCTTGAAGTAGATGTATTAAAGAAGGTAGATCTAACCATAGCAGTCAACACTGAAACTATTTGAGCCGAGACGTCAACACCATCCCAGCTATTATTGAGTCAGTTTTAATCACATTGTGCGCCCAAGAGGGACCAAAAGGTCTAACCGTCTAAAGCTTGGCAACATTTATTTGGGGGAGCTGTGCTATACTGTCATGTGTGCAATAGCTTTCTAAAATTAGTCACGGTTTAACTTTAACCAATAACCATATATAATATATGTTCATTACTCATTTCTTGGGTTGTAATTTTTAAAAATCGAAAATTTCTCTTGAATTTTTCTTATACTCTAATGTCTTATCCACTTATTTTACTCGCTAATTTTTAAAGGATATGGTGGATGAGATTTGAACTCACAGCAATATTATCACGTATGCCCAAATACCTTGTTAAAGAATCAACTCAGCCAAATAGTTTTTAAACTTATTGTAATAATATCAATAAAATAATATTCATACTTCTGTGAGCCAGACAGTATAACCTCTAATCAACTACTAAAAGTGTAGTTTTTCAAACTTGTAATATAATACGTTCGTTGTAGCTTTTCGAAAACCAGGACTAATGGATCGGAATATATAATGGTACTAGAATATTTTGAAAAGCATGACAAAATCACGGATCATCACGTCAACACCATATCGGAGTATGTAATGTGACACAATAATAATTGTACGTTAAAATATAATAGTACTAGAAAAAACGAATTTGCAATACCTGAGTACAGGCCTAGGAAAAAGGCACACACAAATTAAAGATTTCGTTGTTTCACTCAAGATAAAAAAATAAATAAAAAAAAAAATAAATAAATAAAAAAAAAAAAAAAAAAAAAAAAAAAAAAAGAAGAAGAAGAAGAAGAAGGGCGTGCATGGGAGCATGGCTGGTATGAAATTATGTACAATTACAAGTTGGAAGTGCAAATGTGCAATGTGATTGAATTCATCAACCATAAATAAATCATAAATGCACCTGTACAATTCTACAAGGCACTCATCATATAATACCAACAGCTAGCTAGCTATTCAACTAGTCATCTATCACAAAAGTCCTAAAATATCTAACTCAACCTTTAAGTCTCAATCTCTTAGATATCGTAACATTAATTGTTTTTTACTTTACTTTATCCATTATAGATGATTAGCGCATATAATATTTACTTTTTATGAACTAGATTAGCACTCGTGATATTCACGATTTAGAAAAAATAAATAAAAAATTCAATATAGTATAAAATAATTAAATCACAAAAGGAGGGTTTTTGAAAAAAGATCACTAATACGTTTTTGGTTAGTTGATGTTCACACTTTAATTTATTTATTAATAATTATTTTCCCAATATTAAATTTGGAAGGAGAAAAATGATGTCATAAACAATTTTGGAGGAAAATTTTTTCATGAAAAATTGAAATGTGTACAATGATGATGTAAGCGGTTTTTATTTTAGTTATAGTTATCGATAGATAGTGCATGAAAACTAGGTCACTACAGTTTCAGCCTCTGATGATGAGCTGACCTATATATATCTTTTATTTGGCATGATATGTCAATAATTGATATTCCAAAACAATAATTTAATAAAAAATTAGGCCCTGTTCTATTCACCTTAAAAAAATAATATTAAGTAAAAATAATTTCAGTTCAGTAAAATTAATTTCAGTTCAATAAAATTCAGTTTTCTTAAAGAAGAATTATAATAGAAAATCAGTAGAAATAATTTCAGTTTGGCAAAAATAATTTCAGTTCAGTAAAATTAATTTAAGTTCAGTAAAAATAATTTAAGTTCAGCAAAAATAATTTCAGTTCAGTAAAAATAATTTCAATTCAGCAAAATTAAGGTGAAGAGAACAGGGCATTACTCTGATCCATAATAAATATCTTTGGTTCGATCATTTTGGAGTTTTCCTTAAAAAATAAAATCAAATTGAACTGCAAGTCTTGAACCCTTTTTACCTATTTAACTATTTTCTTTGTGTTGTAGTAGTCTACGTAATTATTATCATATAATAATGACATTTCTGTCATTCTACTACTTGTATTTCATAAATTAATTTGGGACCGTCCTCCTGTTACAACTTAATATCTTTAAATACGTATTTTGGGGTCATATACATTGTACTCCTTAGTATATAACATGTAACAAACAACCCTTTAAGCTACTACATACACACATACTAAGAGCTAATCTTAGAGAAAGAAAAGAAAGAAAGATGGTGAACATAGTGAGTTGTTACATGTCAATGTTACACAAAATGATGAAGTTACTAGGAATGCATTCCATAGATGTCGAGATTAACCCAGAAACGACTATTCGTTTCTGGGTTAATACCTCGAACAAGAAGAACAATAAGGAAAAAAAACCACCGGTCATACTTCTCCATGGATTTGCTGGTGATGGTTTACTAACATGGCAATTCCAAATTTTAGCCCTAAGAAAAAAATACACCCTTTATGTTCCTGACCTTCTTTTCTTTGGTAGGTCCCACTCAACTAACAAAACTGAGAGATCTACAAAGTTTCAAGCTGAGTGTCTTGTACTAGGGTTAAAGAAGTTGGGTGTTGAGGAAAAATGTGTTGTGGTTGGGTTTAGTTATGGTGGGTTTGTTGGGTTCCAAATGGCTCAACACTACCCTAACTTGGTGGGTTCATTAGTGGTTAGTGGCTCGGTTGACGCCTTGACTGAGTCTATAAGTAGTGGTTGCTTGGAGAGAATAGGGTTTGCTTCTTGGACTGATTTTTTGATGCCTGATAATGCTCAAGGTGCTAAGGTTCTTCTTGATATTGGTTCTTATGACTTGCCTTGGATGCCTGATTTTTTCTACAAACACTATTGTCAGGTACGTAATCTTATTATTATGTTTTGGCCAAATTAGAAAATAACACCTGCAAAAAGACCCGATTTTGTTTATAACACCTTAACATTTTGAAATTTTATTATAACACCTACAAAAATCCCAAAATTTTGGTTTCACCACCCACTAACGGATTTTTGGATGGAAATCGTTAGAGGGACCCACTAGGGACACGTGTCAGTTGTTTATTGGCTTAAAAATAAAAATTAATAAAAATTAAAATTAAAAAAGAAAAAAAAGAAAACCCCTAAACTCTAACCCAGCCACCAGCCCCACCACCGCCGACCGTCACTACACCGCCGGAGACCCCCCACTGTCGTTGGATTCCATTCCTTCTCCAGCGAAACCACCGGCCGTCACCCCCACCAACATCAGCCCCCCCGTAAATCCCCTTCCCCCTTCCTTCTCCCCGAAAAATCACCCCAACCCACCACAACCCTCCACGAAAACCACCTAGCCCCTTCGCCTCTTTCAGACCCACAACCAAACCACCGTCAACAACCGCTACAAGCACCAATTGACGGAGAACCACCAGCGAAATTTCGATTGGTGCTTGTAGCGGTTGTTGACGGTGGTTTGGTTGTGGGTCTGAAAGAGGCGAAGGGGCTAGGTGGTTTTCATGGAGGGTTGTGGTGGGTTGGGGTGATTTTTCGGGGAGAAGGAAGGGGGAAGGGGATTTACGGGGGGGCTGATGTTGGTGGGGGTGACGGCCGGTGGTTTCGCCGGAGAAGGAATGGAATCCAACGACAGTGGGGGGTCTCCGGCGGTGTAGTGACGGTCGGCGGTGGTGGGGCTGGTGGCTGGGTTAGAGTTTAGGGGTTTTCTTTTTTTTTTTTAATTTTAATTTTTATTAATTTTTATTTTTAAGCCAATAAACAACTGACACGTGTCCCTAGTGGGTCCCACTAACGGTTTCCATCCAAAAATCCGTTTGTGGGTGGTGAAACCAAAATTTTGGGATTTTTGTAGGTGTTATAATAAAATTTCGAAATGTTAAGGTGTTATAAACAAAATCGGGTCTTTTTGCAGGTGTTATTTTCTAATTTGGCCTTATGTTTTCAAATTTTACATGTTCACACACATTCATGTTTAACTATTTATGTCTTTTTTTTTTTGTGACATGTTCATAATTCATAAATAATATATAATATTAATCTATGTGAAATTCTGTTAGACTCACGGTGTTGTACATGGTGATCTCAGATTATGTTTAGCAATAGAAAGGAGAGAGTTGAACTATTAGAGGCTCTTGTGGTCAAAGATGAAGATGCCCATAACCATCAATTTCAACAGGTTTGCAGTAAAAAAAAAAATTTTTTTTTTTTTAGTAATTATTTACTAAATTTTTTGTCATTTAATAGAAATAACCAACATTTTAGTTTACAAGCAAGCTTTTTTTTAATTAATCCTATCAAAATTTTGATCAAATTGAACTCCTGAAATATATAATTAAGCAAAAAAGATGTGCTAATTGATTCTATTTTACATATTTCTAATTTGTTACAGAGGATACACCTATTATGTGGCAGTGAGGACAAAGTATTCAACATGGAGGTGGTAAACAGCCTCAAAAAGTATGATCCCTCCACTTTTGTTCAATTGTTTGTATTCGTCTATTCATAATATGTCTTTTTCAAAACACTTATTTTCTCATAAACATTTAAAAAATATAAAATAAATAAATAACCAGATTTTCTGTCTACTTAATTGCACCCATATATGAGAGGTTGTTATATACACCCGGGTGTATCTGCAAAAGCTAGGGTTTCGGATTGAAAAACCTAGACTCGTGATACCATTAGAGAATATGAGAGATGAGAGAATATTTGTCGTGCCTTCTCATTACTGTAAAGTGAGTATATATACATCAAGGATACTAAGTTAGGCTAAAGCTAACTAAGGAAAGATATACATAAATATTCACAAGATAATTACAATAGATTATTAACATAATCTATCAGTACACCCATGAGTATTTGTCCTTATTTTGATCATTGTTTTTCATTTTATCATCATATTTAAGGAGTATTATGATAACTCTGTAGGTGACAATAGATCTACAATAAGTCAATATGCTCTAATTGGAATCAAGGGTTTACGTCACTGAACAATTTGATTACGTAAAAGTACTCAACTTATAATACTCCATACAAACTAATAATGTGTTTGGTACGATAAAATAATTAGACCAAAATCGAGGTTATTTTACTCATTTTTTCCCTTATGAAATTGTTTATCTTATATCTTAATAACGTATATAAATATATGATGAATGATGCAGAAAATTGGGATCAAAGACAGAGCTACAAGTTATAAAGAATGCTGGTCACCTTGTTTTGTTGGAAAGGCCAATCGCCTTCAACAAATGTCTCGTCAAAATTCTAGCCTCCCTCACTAGCTAATTAATAATTAATGCGTTGCTAATTATTCTTTCAGAATTATATGTATCATCTTTTTCTATTTCTTATGAGCACAAATATAATGCTTATATGGCTTGTATTTTTATAATTATGCATAAGCTAAGGTCGCAATAACTACTCTATAAGAGTTATCCTACCTTATTTATCGTTTCCTTTTGAGTTACACACTTAAATCATATCTTACTAGTAATTATTCTACGCATTGTATTGATTTGCATATCAATGTTGTGAGTATTAATCGCATCAATCAACATTCAAATTAAAGGATTGTGTCAAAGTACAAGCCATGTATATTGTATATACAGGATAAAATATGGTGATAGTTGAGAAATTAATTCCAAATGTCACTTGTTTTAAAGTATTTTGTTAATGACTTGGCCTTTGTGAATTGTCTTGTTGACAAAATGACAATATGCAATTAAGGCAAATAGTATGATTTCATCCGATCTCAACCACTTATTTCAGGAGTTGCAATTGTTATTTAACTTGGTTTAGTTAATTAACTTACGAAATTTTATTTATAATTAGGGTCCAAAATAAATTAGATTGTGATTTAAAAAAAAAAAAAAAAATAGGACAAAAACTATAATATCTTGCTGAAATTGAACAATGCTACCATTCACTTGCATCAATGAGAAAATTTATTGTATGTGGACCATGTAGGTCGTAGGTGTGACAATTTTGGAGGTTTAAAAATGAAGAAAATACAGATTATAGTTTTTTCAACCGTGTAAATTGTACAGGATAGATAATTTCCATTTATAATTACCTGTGCATATGTCAGTTGGTACAAGGTACAACCTATCTTTTTTCAAAAACTTAAAAAAATAAAAATAATTCAACCCTTTTGAAAAAAAAAAAAAAAATTGTAATTTTAATTTTTGTAATTATAGTTTTTTTTTTAAAAAACAAATTTTCGTATTTATATACTAGTAAAACATGGTCAAAGATTGAGAATGTTAATCTTAAAAATTATTTAAATTTAATGGAACTTTAAAACAAGGTCGAACTAGGTATAAAATGTTACGGATTAATTGTAATAATGAGTTTTTTTTTTGTTTGAGAAACTTGTAATAATGAGTAGCAATGAAAATCTAAAAACAAAATCACTCGTCGACTTTTAGAGGAAAAATACACTTCAATTGCTAGTGTTCTTATCACATGGACAAAACCAAAAACTAAATATACAATGGAGAAGGAAAAAAAAAAGTAGATCAAATAAAGAGAAATTACACAATACATAAAAAGTGTAGATCAAGCACTTGTTTATTGGAGGATGCAATCCAAATGTATACATAAAGGAAAATATAGCATTGTTACTTTGTTAGCTTATCACTACTATAGAATTATGAAAAATGAAATCAATAATAATCGATGCTTATTACCTCCGTTTCTTATTAATTGTAAAATTTGCAATAAAAGAACTTTTTTACGTTTTATAAATAAGAGCAACTCCAACGGCAAGCTAATTTGACATGCCACATAAGCTTTTAAGCTAATTGTCATTGTAGTTACTTTGAACTCCAATGACTAGCTATTAGCTTACAATTTTAATGAATTTCACATCCTTTATTAACTTTTTATATTTCATTTTATTAATTCTCTTTTTTTTTTTTTGGTAAGTTTTTTGCCAAGCTAATTGCATTTTCTAGCTCCAATGGTCAAGCTAATAGCTAGGGATTATTTAATATTGCAAGCAAGTCACTAGCTACAACCATTGGAGTTCCTCTAATACCGCTTTATTACAATTAATAAGACACGGAGCAGTCGGAGCTAATATATGTAATTTGATAAATTAGGCAAAAATAAAAATTGACGCACTCTGCAATAGCTAAACATAAGCAACTATGCACAAATAGTGGGGATCATGTTCCACTGCCCTGTATTTCTATTAAACACGACTAATAACTCTAATTTGACTAAGGGCCTGTTCATATTTACTGAATTGAGCTTAACTGAACTGAACTGATTGGAGCTGAATTGAACTAAACTGAACTTATTGGAGCTGAACTGAACTGAACTGAAATGTTTATTTTATGATAGCGGGAAATTAAGAGCCGAACTGAACTGAACTGATTAGAGCTGAACTGAACTGAAATTAAGTAAATATGAACAGACCCTAAGTAAATATCATACAACTAGTTTAATTACTTCTAACTTGCAATTAACTCAGTGCTACTACGTATTTGCTCATAAATTACGGAGTATTGAGTATAATACGTTTATACTTTCTTTTAATCAAAAGAGGAAAAAAAAAAAAGAAGAATAATTAGAGACGAGAAAGTAATTATAAGAAATGTTTAGAATACTTTAAAGCATTATCTCAAGTCTCAAAATACACGATCTATTGTTGAAATTTATTTAGTGACTGTATTAATTCATTGGGTTCCTTTGTCAATTTTTGTTGGGTTTGATAATTACATTAAATTGAGCTAACTGAAAGAAAAAGATTGGGTCATGGGTTAGAAAAATATTTGGGCTTTCGAGTTTTACAAATGCTGAATTACTGACATACATATCAATGGGCTGAAATTTTATAGGTTTGTTACATTTCTATGATAGACTTACTCTTTTTTTTGTTTTTAACAAAGATGTAGACTTGGGGCGTGTTTTGATTTACTGAAAACAATTGAGCTGAACTGAACTGAATTGAACTGATTAAAGTTGAACTATACTGACTGAAATTAAGCTGAACATAGCAGACCCTTAATTACTTTATTAAAATGGTAGTTTCATAGGCATAGTGGACTATTTATCCTACTTTATTACAAGTTTAGGTAAAAAAGACAAATTTGACTCAATGTATCCCGTCTATTTTTAAAATGTTAATCTTTAACAACAATCTTATTACTGTAACAACTAAAAATATCAATAATTGAAAGAATATTTTATCCGTAACATGTGTAAGAAAGGAGCGTGTCAACTAAGAAACATGGATAATAAAAGTAGATATTCAAAGTTGTGCATTGTAGTTTATAATAAAAAGACACATAACAATATAGAGAACATTTATTGACATTATAGTTTTATCAATGTAACTAGTTTCTTGCCCAGGCAATTGCCTCGGGTCATTATATGTATATTGCAAATGAACTTTTATGATTTAACAAAAAAAAATGTGATGAAATATAAATATAGCTTGAAATATTAATTACATTTACTACATATATATGGGATCATATGAGACCACATCCCTTATAAGAGAACCCTATTATATGTGAGGACTCATTATAACCGTTGGATCAATTACATCCAACGGCCACAATTAAATCCCGGTCAAACAAAACTCCTGTGTTTTTTCTCTCTCCTCCTTCCTCTTTCACGCGCTATTTTCTCTCTCCTCATTCAATTTCTCTGTTTTCTACTCTCTTTCTCTCTGCTAGTCTCTCTTATTTTTCATCACTACTTCTTCAATCTTCATCAATTCTTTGTCAAGGTGAGTTTATTGTTTATATTTTCGTGTTTTTCAATTAATTTTAGGTCACATTCAGTTACATTCATCGTTGATTTTCGCTGATTTCAGCTCACACTGTTTATCAATTTGTGTCGATAATGTTTTACTTTGTTTTTTCATTGATTTTAGTTTTATTTTCGTTTTTTTGAGTAGTTATCAAGTTGATTTTGCCTTATTTTCGTTATTGTCCAGTTTTTTCGTTTTTTTGGAAACCTAGAAATCACTGATAATTTGTGCTATTATGTTGATTTTAGCTTGATTTTAGGCATTTTAATTATTTTGTGTATTTTAATTTGATTTTCGGTTTACTTTAGTTCTCAATTGTGTTTTATTTTCTGGTTTTATCTTATTTTTTGTTTGATTATAGCTTTATTTGAGTAATTATTAGTTGATTTTAGTTTTAATTTTGCTTCATTTGAGTAATTGAAGTGGAGTTGTAGTATGTTGAGCAGATCTTAGTTTCAAGTTTTGGGAAGAGGAATGGGGTGACTTGGCATTGTAGTTTGTAGAGTTCTTCTCAGTATGAAGCATAGAGGCAAGTGGCCATATGTGTGCTTTTGTATTACTCATATGCATCTCATGGATATAGAAAAAGTATTTTATGTAAATGTTGGACTTTGGTTACCGCAATCTTGTGAAACTCATTTATGATAAATATGTGATATTTCTTGTGAGCAGGAGCATTATAGTTCTTAATTTTTTGCTCATTTGTCAAATGAGCAATTAATTTTTTGCTCATTTGTCAAATGAGCAAAAACTTCAATGCTCATATAAAGTTCAATTTGCTCATTTTTATATGACTTTGCTCATTCCATACCCACTTTGCTCATTTAAGAAATGAGCAATTAACTTTTTGATTATTTGTTAAATGAGCAAGAAATTACTTGCTCATTTATCAAATGAGCAAAGAAATGTTTGCTCATTTGACAAATGGGCAAGGATTTACTTGTTCATTTCATAAATGAGCAATGATTCCTATCAAATGTTTACTTTAATTTTGAGGTCTATGGTCCATTAATCTAGCAATACCTTAGGTCATTGCCTTACAAGTTACAACTGCAACTTGTGGTGTTACTTTTACTGGTCACTGAGGAAACTTGTGATTAGGTTGTTGGACCTTACGCAGTTACACAACTTGATTGATTTTAAATACTTAACAGGTTCATATTTCTGCTACTGTATATGGTTTGGCTCATCAGAGAATGATGATTTACATCTGAATTATGGAAAACTTGATGCTTTATTGCTTGAGGGTGTTGTTTGTTAGTGACATTAATGGTTTGGGCATGCACTTTTGTAGAAAAACTTGAACTCCTTTGCACTGTAGTTTCTGGAGAAGTTTTTCTTGCCTAGAAAACAGTTTTGCAATAGATTGCAAAACTGTAACACCCCAATAATTCTCTCTTAAAAACCTGTGGGAAACCTGTATATAACCTGAACAATTTCAAGAGAATTACTGGTGTACTACCGCCACGTGTTCAAACATTAAGGCTATCTCAGAAATTTGCAGCGGAAAACCAAAATAGTTTTAAATAAAACTCAAAACAAAGGAATTAAATCAAAATAAGTATTACAAGTTGGAACCATTAAGGGCCCTTATTCAAAACCCAATAAAAGTAGTAAGTGATTAAATTCAGTGTTCAAATAAATTCAAACCCAAAAGAATTAGTGTCAACTAAAATCGAATTAAAATAGATTCAAACTTGCAAAAGAAATAATATGCAAACAACCAACACTCTACTCAAGATCCCACAACCCTGATGAATGCTTCATGTGTAAGAACCTGTAGTTATTCTGCTCCCCAATATTA